CAGTGCTGTCACAGGATTGCATCGTGTTTAGCTGAGCCTCACTCCTTTGCCCCATGTCCCATCATCCTGTCCCGATGTCACCTGCTCAGGCTCAGGACACACACACATACACAGTAAGCACCACGTGATCCACGTGCCTGCTGTCAGCCCAGAGCTTTCCCAGGACCCCGCCGAGCCTCTTCTTATGGGCATACATAGGGTGGTGGGCGTGACCTTTAGGAGATAGGAAGATAACAGACACTTCCCCACAGTGTCATGGCCAGGCACACTGACTTCTGAGGAACCCAAGTCACTCAAGACCAAAGAACATGGGTGAGTAAGTGATGTCCCATCAGCAGCTGCAGCTCACACCCTCAAAGCCTGTATCGCTTTACACTTTTCATAATCTATGTCTCTTAAGAGTTTCACCCGGCATGGTGGTTCATGCCTGTAATCCCAGCATTTTGGGAGGCCGAGGTGGACGGATCACCTGAGGTCAGGAGTTCACGACCAGCCTGGCCAACATGGCAAAACCTCGTCTCTACGAAAAATACAAAAATTAGCCAGGTGTGGTGGCGGGCACCTGTAATCCCAGCTACTTAGAAGGCTGGGGCAGGAGAATCACTTGAACCTGGGAGGTGGAGGCTGCGTTGAGCCGAGATCATGCCACTGCACTCCAGCCTGGGTGACAGAGCGGAGTTTCAAGAAATACCCTGATGGTACTCCAGTTTGCCTTTTATTTTCTGTCCTGTGCTGAAATAAGGAGTGAGTCTAGAGGCATATAGGAAATCAGCTCTCTCCTTGCAAGTAGATTCCTATGGCACTACTAAAAAAATCTGCATAGCAAGCTTCATGCTAATGGCTTTCAGTTATGCTTGCCTAATGATGCCCAAGCTCTTACAAATTCATCCTCTTTTTATCACTGTGCTGTTCTTTAAAAAAAAAAAAAATCAGTAATACTTTGGATTCAACATGTAACTAGACAGGAAACTTAAAAGAAACACTTGTAGAAAGTTATCTTAACAAGGTCAAGATTGTTCCCATTATTGTTTACAATAACTTTCATATTCCTCTTAATTTTATTTTGTTTTCTTGAAATATAGGAAGGGGTTGTATTTTGGTATTCTTGGATTAGTTAAAACTAAGACAGTACCTCAAGGGTACTGGTACTTCATTGCACACTAGCTGGGTATTCTGTGTTTCTCAAGTATATCTTACAGAGTACTGAAAATAATTCTTTTGTGGAATGAGAAAATCAAGAGCATTTGGATACTTAAGTGGCAGATAATAATGCCATAATTTAGTATTTAGTATCTTCATAGTGGTTTAATTTAGCAGCTTTAATTTTTTTAGACCATTTCCTGACTTCATCTTCTCTTTTTCACCATTGGTACCAGAATCTCGGTGACTCCATCTAGACAGGGGACTCCCCCTAGCATATGAGAAATACACCCTAGTCCAGCCTCTGGGCCTCCATCTCCCCAATAATCTCAGGTGTTGATACCTGCATGTGCGTTCCAGTAGCTGAACGCACATTCCTTTAACCTTCCTCTGTTTTTAATGAATGGCTCTCAAAATGCATATTCAGTATATGCTTTGAGCCATATGAAATACACTTTCAAAATGCAATATTCGTTGCCAAAAGAAAAAGGTTTAGTTTAATGAATCTGTACAAATAGTGACAGCATTCCCTCTTTTATCTCTTTCCAGCACAAGCATGACTTTATTGTGAAATCCAGGTGCAGTCGTGTAGTCGCTGTATCTTTCCTCACTCCGGAAAGGCAGTCTATTAACTAAAGCCCAAGAATGAGTGCATTTCTCTGTTAACCATTTATTAAGTCAACAAGCTAAGTAATGACTACATTTTTCTTTCTAACGCGCCTGCAGTATTATGCATTTAGCAATATTATTCCTTGAACAGATGTGTCTTTTCACAGTCGTCTTCCTTTCCTGTGAACATAGGATTTCTTCTTAATTGTATGCTTGTAAGCTTGCAACTGCTTCGAAAGGTGCTTCTAAGCACACACTGAGATCCCTCCGTGCTGAGAGCCAAGTGACATGAAAACCACAACATCATCAAGAATGGGAGCAGCCAGCTCCCCACATCAAGCACCCAATTAGCTCGTATTCTTTGGCTAAATATACTCTGCAGCCAATCCAGTCACCTCAGTGCTTTGATTTCAGAAGCTTTAGAAATACCTGGAGTTACTTGAATGTGGCAGTATTCAAAATACAGAAGATAAGGAAGAAGCATTTCACAATCAGTCAGCAAACTATAGGACTTGACAGCAAAGACATTGAAGGTTACATCAAATTCCTTCCACGTTCGCATCTTGAATAACTAAGCACATTAACCGGGTTTGTGCTCAGCACTTCCCTTTGTCAATCAAAAGGAGTATTCACAAAGAATCAATATCTAAAGCACATCGGGCAACTACTACGCTTTTATGATTTCCTCAGTGCTGAGTGTTAACAAAGAAAACCTTGCTACTATACTTTTGAAAGACACCAATGGAAGCTGACAACCAAATTGATATCATTTTTTTCTTATAAAAAGTATAATGAGCTCTTGGGTCACCTTCAAAATATGGTCACATTCTTTCCCTGGAGTAGAGTTACTGTGGGATTAAGTGACTGAAAATGCGAGGAGAGGAAATAAAACGATTGCTCAGCAGGACAAGTGTGGTGCTGCTGTCCTCGCCTACGTCTCTGCCCACAGCAAGGTCATGGAAATTCAGCGTGAGCCCAAGTGGTTCTTCAGCAGCAGACACTCATGGACATGATCCTGGCACTCGCCGGTGTTTGTTTGACAGCTGCGTGTGCTTCAGCCACGGCTGCAGTAAGTGACCTACTGGGTTCTGCGGAGGAAGGCTGGCCCTACCATTCCCCATTGAGTCAGGAGGTCAAGTGAGAATTCCACTGATGTCTTTAAATAGTCTTGGCTGCAACAAGCTAATGTGGGGGAGGATTCTGGAGTGTGCCCGGGTGCGCCTGGCAGTCATAGGCAGGTCCCCAGTTGCTGCTGGAGGGGGAATTCGGAGGAGACTTCCTTAGCTGCTTCCAAGTGACACTGGTAAGGTCTGTGTGCAATGGTTCAACAGAAGACCTCATGCACAAATGTGCTAATGGAACTGTGGTATCTGGTGATAACAGCAGAAATTGGCTTCCTTCTTTTATGGGTGGGAACATTGAATTGGGGTCTGTTGGGAAAAATCACTTGCTCTATGAATAAGCCATACGGACCCCCTTTGAACAGCTTTTAGAAAAAGCAAGTATTTTTCACAGTAAAATTGCCTGAGCTCAGAACCTGAGAGTGAGCTAGCCACCGCCGCAACGCTTTGCTGTTCTTTCCAAATCAGGCAAGTGCAGAGGTGGGGAGGAATTAGGGTTTGATGGCTGCAGGGAATGAAGGGGTTAACTGATTTATCCCAGCTGTGCTCTTTGCTTACTGTTCTCTGGTTACTGAGACTTTGGAGCTCAGTCTAGTCTACACCCTACAGTGTGCTATTCTTGCCGCAGCCCATTTTTTGTATCTTTCTTGAGCAGGGATCACATCTTGCTGCACATCGTAGAAACCGTGTGGGTCTGTCTCCTCCTCCAACCTGGGAGCTCCGTGGTAGGAGGAGCAGGTGTTGTTCTTCTCAGGTTTCCCGCCCAGTGTCCAGACTGGAAAAGGTGCTAATAAATATAAGTTAAATTGAATTAAACTAAGAATACTGAGAAGTTATACAAGTCTTGGCAGTAACCCCAAATGCTAAGTCTTGATATAGTTTGCTATAACTTTATAGACAAATGTGCCAAGAAATCAGAACAATTGGCTCTTCGTAGACCTGAAGGTACTTGATTTTCTTCAGTGTCATATTTTCATTCTGATCCTTTAGTTCTAAATCAGTATTAATGTGTGGCTCTTGGCTGCTGCCATAGCAGTAAGGTCCGGTGACCTTTGGTGCCGGAACTCTGTCACTGCTTGCCCTGGTGTCTGTATTTCACTAACAGCTGTGTACTCTTAAAATAAAAAACAAGCTTCATGTTTTTATAGAGCCTTTTTTCCAAGGAGCTTTTAAATGTCATTAAACTCATTTTTTTTAAATGTTAACATGGGAAAGTCAATATTACCCTCCTCCAAATTGTAAAAGGGTAATTACTTTTTTGCATGACTTGTCTATGTCTTTCCCCCTCTTTGCTGCCTTTTGGTCATTGTTGGCCAAGTTATTCCATTTAGTAGTTTATCTCTGAGAGGGCAGATGTAGTCATGGAGAAGTGAAATTAGAATGGGATCATTTGATGATTGCCTAGTGTCTAGCAAAGTAGTTCAAGGACATGACAATGAGTGGAAGATGACTGGGAAGGAAGGTTGAAATACACATTAAATCAGTTCATATTTATTATCTGAAAGCCATCCTTCTACCCATTACTCACCACCAGACATAAGCAAGAGTGGCTTGGTTATTCTTCTACAGCCGCATGAAAGAAAAATCCCTATGATTGTCCCCCAGAACTTAAGGGGAAAGCTCTGCCTGTTTTGGTCACTGGGGACAGAGCCCACTGTGGTTTGCCTTTTGGTCCCAAGTGATGCTTCATGGAGGCTGATGGAGGAATGTGTCTTGCCGTTGCCACCTGGCCACAGGTTGCTGATTGAAGGGTAGAAACTATCTGAAACCAGGTTTCAGCACCTCATACTGTACTTGGCACACAGTACTTAGCAAATATTTGCCTTTTGAATTACATGGAATTCAGACCTGTTAGGTGTCCACTCTCCCAAGGGCTGAATCTCACTGCTCCTCAGAAGAATCAGAACTGTTAGTTCTCTTTGGAGAAAACCAACCCCCTTTCAATTTATGTTTAGGATAAGATGAACATGATAATCCAGAGGTTATTAAGAACATACAGAGTTAAAAGCAAATACCTCCTTAACATGGATGTTCAACAGCGACTTAGCAAATATTAACAAAAGCATTGCCAGACACTAAGGGTGAGAGTAGAAAGCTGAGATGAGAGAAGTACCCTGGCTGACCGAGTCCAGGTGAGCTGCCTCCCATCCAGGCCTCCAGGACCCACGTCATGTGTGTTTTTTGTCCTTCAGGTAGCCGAAGAGCATCTCCAGGCCCCCCTCCACCAGCTCCGGCAGAGGCTTGGATAAAGGGTTGTGGGAAATGTGGAGCCCTTTGTCCATGGGATTCCAGGCGATCCTCACCAGTCTACACAGCAGGTGGAGTTCGCTCGGGAGGGTCTGGATGTCGTTGTTGTTGAGGTTCAGCAGCTCCAGGCTGGTGACCAGGCAAAGCGACCTCGGGAAGGAGTGGATATTGTTGGCCTCTGCGATGAAGATCTGAAGGCTGGTCAGGTGCTGGATGCTCTCAGCGATGTTTTCCAGGCGATTCGAGCCCACGTGCAAGAAAATCAGTTCCTTCAGGGAGAACACACACATGGGGATGTGCGCGAAGAGGTTGTTGCTGAGGTTCAGCTTCCTCAGTCTGGAGAGGTCAGCGAAGCACGCAGGGAGCTGGGACAGGCAGTTGTGCGACAAGCTCAGGACCTCCAGCTTTCGGCACAAGCTCAGCTCGGCCGGCACCTCGGTCAGGCAGTTCATGTTGACAAACAGGACCCTGAGGCCTTGCAGGAGGCTCACTTCTCTGGGCAGGCTCTTCAGGCGGTTCCCGCACAAGTTCAGGACCACGATCCGGGTCAGTTTCCCCACCTCGGGAGGGAGAACCCGGAGCTGGTTGTGAGACAGATTGAGTTTCTGGACCTCGGACAAGCCCCACAGAAAGTCGGGGATGTCTGTCATTCCTCTGGTGACCAGGCTGAAGCTGACGTGGTGCATGCCTCGCTTCAGCAGAGACCGCGGGTCCCTTCCCGGGAGCAGGGCATCGTCCCACGGGGAAAACTTCTGTCTCCTCCCCGTGAACAGTATCCTCTTGGGGCCCTTATCCTTGGAGCTGGCCCTTGACTGCCTGGCCCCCATCGTACCTTCCCTTCTATTCACTCTTCTCTGCCACCTCCCAGCAGGGACTGTGTCCTCTCAGCTGCTAAAAGCCAGGCTGTTGCAGGCAGGGAGCCTGCGTCCGGGTGAGAACCAACTTGGGACTAGGCGGTCCTAGCGTGGAGAAAGCTGCCCGGAGAGTCTTGATCAGGCCTTGCAGGTATCCGAGACAGGTCCCTGGGTGGCTGCAGGAGCTGTGCCTGTCCCCCAGCGTTTAGGTGTTTTTTCTCTGAGCAGCTGGGCTGTAATGATATACTTGTCCAGGAGGCTGCTAAACTGCTCGATTCCCTCTGAATGCCACAAGGCAGCTGTCACTGTCACTCTGCCTGAGTTTTATTGACCGGGTACATGCAAACAGGTCACAGGAAGGCTGCATATAACTTTACTCTCTCAGCTTTTCTTGGGTGTCACAGTTGAGGAGGGTGATTAGCAAGCCCATGTCTAAAAAGAAGTAAAGTGGAAAAACAGAGCAGGTCACCCGAGCACCGGCTGGTGGCAGGATTGCGGGAGCTCAGCCAGACAACTTCACAGTGAACCTGGGCTCCATGCTAGCGACAGTTATGTCTCCAAAGCTAAGAATCTGCAGATGATCTCGTAGGTCCCCGTTCCAAACTTCGATGAACTGTATGTTTGTGAAAACATGACAAAAGCAGCCCGGATACCTGGAATCGTCCAGGTCAAAGGTTTTTATCCTGTGCTTGTCAGAGGTGATTTAGTGAGAAGGGGGTTGGGAGGGATCTCAGCCCCTCACTCCCATTTCAGCCAGAGAAGCTCTGGGCTCATCTGTCTTACAGAGACCTTCTGTATTTAGTAGGATGCGCTTTAAATGTTTGAACAGCCACTTAAGTGGCCACCTCAGTATGGTAAGCACGGGCCACGCATTGTCCTGGAAGGATATAATGAGGCCCCCCTCACTACGCACCATTCTCTTTCTCTCTCTCTCTTCTCCTCCCTGTCTTTTTATTTATTGTTAATTTTTTATTTATTTCTTTTTCTTTTTCTTTTTTTTGATGGAGTTTTTGCTCTTGTCGCCCAGGCTGGAGTGCAGTGGTGTGATCTTGACTCACTGCAACCTCCACCTCCTGGGTTCAAGTGATTCTCTTGCCTCAGCCTCCCAAGTAACTGGGATTACAGGTGCCCACCACCTCACATGGCTAATTTTTGTATTTTTAGTAGAGACAGCATTTCACCATGTTGGCCAGGATGGTCTTGACCTCCTGATTGAGGCGGGTGGACCCGCCTCGGCCTCCCTGTCTTTTTCTTGAATTAAAAAAGTTAACTTATACCTTAAGTTTGCACAGTTGATTGTTGGTGTTATGGGCTGAACTGTGTCCCCTCACCCTGCCCTCAAATTTCGTATGCTGAAATTGTAACCCCCAGTATCTCAGAAGGCGCTGCGTTTGGCGAATGGGCCAAGTGAAGACGTAGGGAGAAGGCAGCCACCTGTGAACCAAGGAGAGAGGCCTCAGAAGAAGCCAACACCTTGATCTCAGGCTTCCAGTCTCCAGAATTGTGAGAAAAATACATGTCTGCTGTTTAAGGCACCCAGTTTCTTAGAGCAGGCCTCGCAAACTAACATAGTTGGGGAGGAGGCGGACACACGTCTGCACAGGTGAAAAATCCTAAAAATACGTAGTGAGAAGACAAGGGATATCAAGGTGCTGACCTAGGTTCTGAGCACAGGGCTTGTGGCCCTTGGCAAGGGCTGGTTTGGCCTGGAAGGGTGGGGTTTTTACTGCTGTGTGTCCTGGAGACCCCTGCTGCTCCTGAGACCCTGACCTCACAGGGATGTTGCCACCAACCCAAGAGTTGTCACTGGGTCCTAGCTGGGTGCTGCCTGGGGAGCCTGGACGTCCATCCACACCCAGGGTGCAGGATCTGACCAGGAGGAGCAGCAGAGGTAAAAACGAGGGGAGGCCAGTTCTCTCTCCACATGCCATTTGAAAGAGATCTGACCCCTTTGAGTCAGCCCCAGGGATTCTGGACAAAGGTGGAGACTTTGCACATGCTTTTTATGAGGCACTTGAGTGTTGTAGTTAACAATTGTGGTGGCTTGCGTGGGATCAATGTGGCTACATTTAGACCCTAAGTTTTTGGAGCAGACCATGCCTTATATATGTAAATTTCACATGGTTCTGTTAAAAAAAAAAAAAAAAAAAAACAGAAAAAGAAAAGCTAGCTATGCTTCCTCTTTCCTTCCATGAGCCTGAGAAATTATGCTAGAGTACTTGAAATGTGGGGAATTGCAGTACCTGGGATGATTTGAGAAAAATATCAATAACTTTCTTGTGGCAATTCTCTCTCTTCCCCCTTAATACATTTTTTCTAATAAATATTTATTGAGCACTTATCAATAGCCAATATTCATCAGATGTTTACTTATGTAAAAGTCACTGTAGCCCTCACTTTATATGCAGAATAGGTATTAAAATTATCTCCATGTTACAGATGAGGAAAGGAAGATAGACAAAGGTAAGTTACTTATACAAAATCAACTCACTTACCCAAGATCAAGTAACTAGTCAATGGGAGAACCAGGATTCAATCTTAGTTGGTCCACACAGAGCTCAGGCTGGGAAACACAAGAAGACGCTGGTTTTATCTCTGTAGAGAAGCAAAGCAACTCTGGCTAGGACATGGTCCCTTGCTTTCAAGTGCCAGGGTGTAGGATTGACAGAGCACGGGTCAAAAAATGACTACATTACTCCCTGCATAGAAGTAACTACACAGGGCCAGGGGTGGTGACTCACGCCTGTAATACCAGCACTGGGAGGCTGAGGCAGGTGGATCACCTGAGGTCAGGAGTTCGAGACCAGCCTGGCCAACATGGCGAAACCTTGTCTCTACTAAAAACACAAAAAATTAGCTGGGTGTGGTGGCAGAGAGCTGCAATCTCAGCTACTCCGGAGGCTGAGGCAGGAGAATCGCTTGAACTCAAGAGGTGGAGGCTGCAGTGCGCTGAGATTGCCCCACTGCACTCCAGCCTAGACGACAGAGTGAGACTTTGTCTCAAAAAAAAAAAAAAAGAAAGAAAGAAAGAACTACACAGCTAGATACCAACCCTGCTTACCTCATGCCAGCATAACCAGGAAGAGCAAAAGTTAAGCCATCATTCCAGAAAACTTCAGAGTGATGGATTTAGCGCCTCCAAAAACAGTTCAGGTCTTCTCCAGAGAGGTTCTCATGTATCAAATGGACGAGCTGAGTCACTAGCTGACTTGTTTTCTTCTAACTTTTTGAAATGTAAATGCTGCCCACTCAGTGACTGTCAGTTATCCGGTCAGCACGTAGTTCTCTGAGAGGACATGCCTTGTCTCTGGTCTCAGTTTTCTCCTCTATGAAATGGATCATTTGGAGGGGATAATGGCCGAGAGCCCCTTTCCCAGTCTCCCGGTCTGATTCTCACTACAGATGAGGCCACTTGTGAGAAAGTGAAAGTCACATTTAATCCCCTTTCTGGTAAAAGGATGCAAAATCCAAGACAGCCTTCATTTTTGTAACTTTAATGTTCGTCCTGGGGAATAAACACTAACAAGGAAATGTTGTTGACTTTGGGGTTCTCTATACTGTGTAGACCACACATTTGACCTTTACCAAAAGAGACTTTTCAGGGCTCTCTGAATGGAATGCAGCTTGAAATAACTCTCAGAACATTGTTGGACAATTTTTTGAAATTCCAGGGCATTGTAAGTAATGTGATTATATTTAAAACCTAAGGAGCCTGGAGAATAATTGAAATGCATTTAATATGGCTGACATGTTTACTACATTGCTGTATGTTCCAGCTGATTGTTCCAACATATGAAAATCAATATGGATTATTTCTTTAAACCTAAGTAATATAAAACTGAAATAATGAGAGTGTAAAATAGTAGGTTATGAAAACATCTGAAGCTACTCCTGAATTCACACTAACGGAATATCTACAGAAAAGAATATTTTTTATTCTCACTATGACTTTTCAGCTTATGTCTGTACATCATATGTTAATTTCAGAAGAAAGAAATGTGTACCTCTAAATAGTTTATTAAAATAAACTTTCTACTGTTTAAAAAATCTAAAATAGGCCAGTTGCAGTGGCTCACACCTGTAATCACTTTGGGAGGCTGAGGCAGGCAGATCACGTGAACCGAAGACCAGCCTGGGCAACATGGTGAAACCCCTTTTCTACAAGAAATACACAAATTAGCTGGGCGTGGTGGCGCATGCCTGTAGTCCCAGCTACTCGGGAGGCTGAGGTGAGGGGAACATTTGAGCACTGGAGGGCAGGGCTGCAGTGAGCCATGATCACACACTACACTCCAGCCCAGGCGACAGAGCAAGACACTATCTCAAAAATAATAATAATAATTAAAATAGAAAATACAGAAAAGTATGAAAAGAGACAATCCAGTTAACATTTTGCATATATAAAGTTAGATCTTGTACCTATGCATATTGGCTTCTATCTGTTTTCCTTTACCACAGAAAAAAAATTTTTTCGAGATCTGCCTTAGCCTAGGTTTCCTCAAAAGCAGAGCTTCAGGCAAAAGCTTATGGGGCTAATATTTTATTAAGGAGCACAATTGTGGGTAAGCAAGAATGAGGGAGACATGGGGAGGAGCATCAGGAGGGGGAGCAAGCACAAGTGATATGTTCTGAGCTGTCACATCTTTGCATCAAACACAGCCTGTTGCTAGGTTTTGCAGAGATCTGCAGAGAAGCTATATGAAACCATTGTAGCTCAGAATGGTCCATGGTTAAGCATCTATGAAATGCATGCAATAGTAAAGCCCAAATCACATAAAAAAAAGTCCCTAAATCATGGTTATTGAAGACATATGGCCCATAGTACAGTACTAGGACAGAGTAAGAACTCTATCAATGATAGTTACTCTAAAAATGGTAGCTATTACACACACACACACACACACACACACACACACACGCCCCTGGAGTCATTGAGAGAACATTCTCCATGTGTTTGATTTTTATTTTGTCCTTCTTTATGAACTTTACACTTTCTTTAAAC